CCCAAGACTTTACCTATCCTAAATCATCATTAATTAAAATAAAAATCTGATGCATTCATGATTTAAACAACCATCTATAGGTCAGTCCCTTTGAAGTAAAATTGATAGAGTGGATTTGGTATCATCTTGAGAAACTTGCGGCACCGTTACTCACACCTGTTAACATTGCTCATCTGTTCATTTCTTGGCCTAAACAAAATTGGGTTGTACAACTAAGTCATGCATTTGCCATTAAACCAAATCCACTCTGAAATCATTTCTAAACTGTGCTTTTATAGGAAATTAACTTTGATGAATAATTTCAAAGCTGACACATAAAAGGCTTCATTTCATGATGACATCACCATGCTACAACATAATTGTAATGATTGAGAGAAAAATGTAAAAAAAATTGAAAAATACAAAAACTGATATTCAAGTTTAAAAATACAAGTGTTTACCAAAATTGGATTGAACTTCAATTCAGTTGTGTTGTCATCATGATATAGCTAGTAAATAACAATCCCTGTTGCCTAGAGATCCAGTGAGTACTGAATAAATAAATATCAATTATAGACCAAGTCCCCTAGCAGACTCTAAATACATTAATACTCTATTGAAAAAATATATGCCCAGTCCCCTAGCAGACTCTAAATACATTAATACTCAATATTAAAAACATTGTGCCCAGTCCCCTAACAGACTCTGAATACATTAATACTCAATTGAAAAATATATGCCCAGTCCCCTAGCAGACTCTGAATATATGAATTGAGAATAAATTATAGACCTAGTCCCTTAGCAGACTCTGAATATATTAATACTTAAAAATTATATGCCCAGTCCCCTAGCAGACTCTGAATACATTAATAATTAAGTGAATAGATTATAGGCCTTAGTCCTCTAGGGAAACATAAATAAAATGTGGAAGGGTTAAAAGTCTAGGTTAGCTTTTCATATTAAATTACATGATGGTAGTTTCCTTTTCGGGATAGACCAGCTCATTTTTCACAAGTTAGTAGCCTAGAAACTTCGTTATTTTAGTGTTCACAAACCAGTCTTGATAATCACATACACTTTATGGAAGTCTGA